CCTCCCCAGTGCTTAAGTCTGAGAAGGCAGCTCCCTCAGGCTCTGGTGTTAGAGACTGTTCTTCAGACCAGCCCAGGAAGAGATCCCATGCATCAAGTAAGGGTGACTCCTCAAAAAAATGGAGACAAACACCCATTGTATTTTCTGCACCAGCCCCCATTAGGGCACCAGACAGGGAGGTACTTGGACTGTCTGGCTCTAATAGGATTGGGCCACAAGAAATTTGATAAGGTTCAACAAGGACTTCACTTGGATGGAAGAATCCCAAGCATTGTTACAGGCTGGGGCCACCCAGCTAAGTAGTAGTTCTGCAGAAAAGGACCTGGGGGTTACAGTGGATGAGAAGCTGGATATGATCACCCTGATCACTCGGCAGGCGCACAGAAATGGCCCGGTGGGTGCCATGGTGCCTGCGGGCACCGCATTGGGGACCACTGAGTTAAGGACATGTCGTGTGGTGTTTGAAAGCGAAATCATCACAGTTAAATTAGTGTATTTGAATGCTTCATGGAAATGACTAGGTTTGATTAGGAAGGCAAACCCTTCCCCTGAAAATATCTGTGATTACTGAAACTTAGTTTGACTAAAAGTCCTGTGTTTTACAGTGCCATAATTGAATGTCATCTCCAAATTTTGCTGAAATAACTCTTTGTAGAACAGTTGAATTTTGTATTTAACTTTTTAGGAAAATACTTAATTGTACAGAGTGAGCATTTATTTTTTTCTCGTTTCTTTCATTTCCTCTGACAGAAGCACAGTGATTCTCAGAGACTTCAGACTGTGTGTGCATATGAACATATATTCTGATAACATCTCTGGCATAGGCTACAAACTTCTATTTACTCCCACAAACAACCACTGTCTCTCTCATTACATCTCAGACATAGGCCACTTCTGAATGAAGTCAAATATTTATTCAAGATCACTTAACTGATTTTCACCAAGAGTATCTGGTGGAACTTTTAAGTTCTGTCAGATACTTCCCTTTTCCAGGATTGTCTTTCTGACTTCCCTGACTTACCCGCTCCACTCCTCTTCATAGTGACCATAGGAAATTATGTTGACTCTGTTTCTTTAGTGTACCCCAGAAGATGGCAGTATAGAGAGATCATTGAAAAGGGAGCAAGGATGTTAGGAATTGGGTGTGTAAAGAGAGCATGGGAGGGAGAAGTGGGCATTGAGCTGTTGGGACTATGAAGTGGAAAATAATATAGTGAAGCTGCAAGTCTAATTAGTTAAGGTAGAACATTTCTTATTATTTAAAAAATATAACTATTTAGTTCTCTAAAATCCACATGCTGACTCAGATTGCCTTTAAATTTGCTGTGCCTTCTGTCTAGTGTGTATGTGCTGGTTTCTGTTGGTCCCAATTTGTCACTTTGACTTGAGCAAGAAGTTCCTGAGATACTTCCCTAAAATAAATCATGTGTTGGGGAAAATCAGATGATTTTGTAATGCTTTTTTGCACACATCAGGGCCTAAGCTATGTCTGTAATCCTCCCTTTGCTGCTTGGAATTTATTTTGGGTAGTGCACTGCACCTACTGCAATTTTGGGTGTACCTGTGTTGTATTGAAAAAGTTATTCATGCCTAATTTAGGTACCACAGATGGGAGCATCAGTAGCTTGAGCCAAAAAGAATGAAAGGCGCATGTGTAGCAAGAGTCAGGTGACATTTACAATGCCCATCACTTAGGATGGCAGGAGTCGTGTCTATATATATTAAAAAATTTTTTCCTGCAGAACAACAGAAGTAATGTTCTGCATCACTCTGCATCCTGCAGGAAAAGTTTTTGTCCTGACGCCTCCCTGTTGCTGGGTGTGTGTATTGGGGTGGGGGTACCGAGAGCTATGCCACCTCCCTGGTGTGCTGAGGGGACGAGGGGGCACCTGGACAAGCATCTGCCTATCTCTGGACCCCGACCATAGCCTGCCCAACCCACATGCCTGCTGCGGCTTGGCTCTGGGTAGCCTGTCCTCCCCTCTCTCCACACACACGCACCATGAGGAGCGAGGTGGCGCTGCCTCCTGGCACCTCACTAGTCCCTACATGGCGCTA